GGGCCACGGGCTATCTTTGTCCTTGGCGGCAGCCCTGCAGCGGTCCCACTCGGGTGCGTGGCAGCCCCAAGAGGCCTGTGCCCGAGCCCCGAGCTGTGCCATGGGCAGGCGGCCGCCAGGCATCCCCTTGCTGGGGAAGGCAGCGCTGACGCTGGGGCTGGTGCTGCTCTATTACTGCTTCTCTATCGGCATCACCTTCTACAACAAGTGGCTGATGAAGGTAACTCAGGGCTGGGCAGCGCCCTCCCCTCGCCCCACTGCACTGTCTAGGGAGATGGGAAGGGTACCCAGCCGCCAAGATGGGGGCGCTGCTGGGGCACAGTTGATTAGGGTGGGGGTACTAGAAGCTTGCTGGTGATGGGTGTAGGGTGACCAGACAGCAAGTGTGAAAAATCGGGATAGGGTGTGGGGGGTAATAGGAGCCTATATAAGAAAAAGACCCAAAAATCGGGACTGTCCCTATAAAATCAGGACATCTGGTCACCCTAGATGGGTGTATGAGGAGCAAGGGATGGCATGTGAGGGCAAATGCAGAGTGGGTGGCAAAAGGTGCTGGGTGACTTGGTGGGAGGTGATAGGGTAGCTATCAGTGCCTTGTGTATCTTGTGACAGGATCTGTGTGTCTGTGTCTGGCTCCCTGCAGAGTTTCCATTTCCCTCTTTTCATGACCCTGCTGCACCTCCTGGTTATTTTCCTGCTCTCTGCTCTGACCAGGGCCCTGATGCATTGCTGCACCAAGAGGTCCCGCGTGGTGCTGACCTGGGATGACTATCTCAGAAGGGTGGCTCCAACAGGTATGTACAGCCATGGAATGGAGGGCAGTGCCCACAGATTAGGGAGAGAAGAGAGCCTTCTACTTTTCTTTCCAACACAAAAATCATTGTTAACTTACAGATAAAATTGGTGAAGTAACTAAAATAACAAATGGTATTTTACAAGTGACCCTCCGCTTTTGGCATGGTACCTGGGTTCTGTGGCAGAAGAGTGTGGCTATCCATTCTGGAATGGCTTCATTTAAATTAAATTTTAAAATGTAGGTTTTTATGCTTTAACTGTGTAGATGACGACTAGTACAAACCCTATGGGATCCTTTATGTTAATCTTGACGATAAATATGCTTTCGGTTTTTGATGTTACAGACTTCTGTATTGAAAAGCTGAATCACAAAAACTGCCAGGGAATCCTGGTGGGTGGGGCAGGTTGGTAGGAGACATTTAGGGCTGTTGGCACCTGGTAAGATGTGAGAAGCAGCTTGGGCTGTGGGATAAGCACCTTCACTGAATGGCTTCTGCTATAATGACCAGGAGTTAAATAGTTCATGCAGCTGATGTTTAATTTATCACATTTAGGTTTTGGAGATATCATCTGTTGTGATTAACGTGCCAGTTCACACCTATTAGAATAATTGTTTCTGGCTATCTGCAGTCAGTTTACAGTCAGGCCATGTTTTCAAGACTTTCCTCATAGCTGTGAGGGCTATATTGAATTATTTCATGAAAATTGAAATGCTGGAGCATGATTCAGTAGGAAGGAATAGATTCTGTGGCTGCAGAATGGACAGGACCCAGAATATATCCTTTAAACATGTATCTACAGCGTTAACATTAAAAAGACTTGAAGTGACCAGTTAAGACAATTTACAGCAGTATTCTGCAATGCTGACAGTTTGTGTATCATTAACCATGATACAGAGATGTGGAAATTCACTTAATTAGCCTTATCTTTCATTTTCGCTTCACTCTTGCCATCTGTAACAGAGACAATTAGCGTACATAGTCCAAGTTATACCTATGTTTGTATTGAAGGACTTGCATGTTAATATACAAACCCTAGTCATAAACTATTTGTGGAAATTATTTTTCTTGGTCACTCCCAGTCCTTTAATTTGAGATGAGTGAAGTATTTACCTAGTTATTTCAACAAGTTTTAGTCAAGGTTTTTTTGGGTGGGATTTTTTTTTTAATTATTTTTGGTGCCATCGTGATGCACAAATTCGTAATACTCAGGCTCAGCGGCTGCAATTTTCCATATACAGAAGTAAAGGTATATGCCCTGATAAATGTCCAGCTAGTTCAGAACACAGCACCTTTCCTACTCAGCTGCACAGGTTTCTGGCAACACAGCTTTGATCTTTTCTGCACTGGCTCTCCTCTGAACAGAGTCTGGTCCACAATCACTGCCATGACTTACAGAACCTGCAGGAAACTTGCTCTGGTTCCTTGAGAGACCGTCTCCCTCCTTATGTGACCATATCCTCCCTCTTTCCTGTGTTCCACAGAAGCAATAAAACTGTTGGCCTCAGAGGGAGGTTCGTGGATGGGCAAACAGGACCTTCACAGGAGTCATACCTAGATGAGACTATCCTGCCAAATGAAATCTGACTGAGCACTACGTTGGTGCATTCAGAGCTAAACACAGAATCCTCCCTTCACTCCAGCTTCCATGTAGTAGCCCCTCACTCTCACCCTGCTAAATTCTGAAAAGGTTTAAAAAATTGCAGACCCCCAATGTTCCTAAACACAGGGAATGGAGAGATCATTGTTAGAACTCTTACTCATGGGAAGCACTCAGATGTTAAAGTGATGGGCACTAATCGAAGAATAGGCTTGAGAGAAAAATACAAGGACCCATGAATATTTTCATCAGGTTGACCTAGGAGACTCTGTCCAGGCACAGAGTTGTCTGGGGCAGCAGGGCATGCTTGGCAGCACATTCTGATTTGGTAAAAGGACATTAATGCTGGGGGGTTCTTGTTTCTTTAGCATTGTCGACTGCCTTGGACATTGGGTTGAGCAATTGGAGCTTCTTGTACATCACAGTCTCCCTGTAAGTAGCATCCCCATATCCACCCTGGGAGACATGAGTAGTGGGTTTGGTGAGTGCTCTGGCAGAGCCAGGCAGCGGGTCCAGGCCTGAGCACCAGGCCTTATAGGGACGGTCTTCAGGTTCCAGACCTATGGAAATGGATATTGGTTTGGGGCTGAGTGGTCTGGCTTCCCAAGGTGTTGTGTTGGTAAGTGCCACATGATGCTGGAGAATGATTGATTGTGTTTTGACCTTTACAGCTACACAATGACAAAATCCTCTGCTATCCTCTTCATCCTGCTCTTCTCCCTGATCTTCAAACTGGAGGAGCTGGTAAGGGCTCTAGTGTTGTGAGCCCCTTGGGGAGGCAGCTGGTCAGGGCCCAAGGTGTGGGGATGGGTGTAGGTGAGGGCCTGGATCCTGAGATGGGAAAGGGAGGAAGGGACCATGAGGGGAAGCAGCTGCCTGATTAATGGGTCTGGAAGAAAACAGCAACTTGTCCTTATGCAGCCTTGGAAACCTCCATGGTGATGCTGTGTTTGTTCTCGCTCAGAGGATGGCGCTGGTGCTGGTGGTTCTGCTCATTGCCGGGGGGCTCTTCATGTTCACGTACGAGTCCACACAGTTCAACATGGAGGGGTTTGCGCTGGTGCTGGGTGCCTCCTTCCTTGGGGGCATTCGCTGGACTCTCACCCAGATGCTCATGCAGAAGGCCGAGCTGGGTACGTTGGGAGGCAGGGCGTGGAGGGGCAGTAGCATCCCTAGAGCAAGGGGAGGGAATGGGGAGGTGGTGGCCCCTGAGGCAGGGGAGGAAATGGGGAGGTGGGGAGGAAATGGGGAGGTGGGGCGGGAGGCAGAAGCTGTCATTGGCACATGGGATAGGGTGTTTGCCCTAGGAACAGAACTAGTAAAGGCTTCTTTATGGCCTGCCTCTTCACCCAAATTTTGCTGACAGGTCTGCCCCAACTCTCTTCATACAGGGCTTCAGAATCCCATTGACACCATGTTCCACCTGCAGCCTCTCATGTTCCTGGGGCTCTTCCCTCTCTTTGCTGTGTTTGAGGGTGAGTTGGCTGGTGACAGGAGGGACTCTTTTTGGGGGCTGCTGGGGATCACTAGGCAGTTTGCTGCAATGGAGATGAACTGTATAGACAAGGGAACAACTTCCTGAATTTGCAAAGTAGGTAGGTGTTACAGTTTCAGGTTTAGCTGCATTACTGATCCCCTTCCTGGCCTTCCTTGAGGGCACCCACTTTAGGTTTAGGGCTTCTCAGGTGGAGACCCATGCTGCTCTCCCAACAGACCGAGGGTTTGGGCTTGCAGTTCCTCTGCATCTCACTACGCCAGTTACCAGCCAGTCTTCACAAAACAAAATACATTTTATTCTTAGGGCAAAAGTATTACAGAAAAAACAAAAAAACAATAAACCTAAACCTACATGCATTCTAAAAGCTTACCGGAGATCACCCCCCAGCTCCAGCATACACCTGTCAAAGGTGTCAGTCTTTCACACCTCTCAACTGGGTTTGCTTTCCTGGTTGCCAGTTCATGTCAGGTTTCATATCAAGAACCAGAACCTCCTAGGGACAGTTCAGCGCTTTCTTTGTATGGTTTGGGCCTTCAATCTCTGGCCTCCTGTAACAAATCATCACAGCTCAATGGTCCTTTCCTCAGGGGGAAGCTTCCAAACACTGTGGGGGATTTGCATTAGTCACCCCTTAGTGGTTCCAGCTTCTTCAGGAAACCCATCCACGGTAAGCCAGGAACACACAAATACAGTTACTCCTCACTTAACGTTGTAGTTATGTTCCTGAAAAATGCAACTTTAAGTGAAAAGCAACAGAGGGTCCTGTGGCACCTTTAAGACTAACAGAAGTATTGGGAGCATAAGCTTTCGTGGGTAAGAACCTCACTTCT